CCTCTACCACCCTACCCTACACTGTTGTCAGAAGCGTGCTTTTGCGATATTTTTCTTTTATTTATTTACATTGCCATACTTTACTTTTAACATATTTCATTTCATATTCTTTATTTTTTATCATTCTTTATACCAATCTTTTTTTAAAGCAGGCTGCTAGCTTCCCCCCACCCCCGCCCCCGTTTTTCCAATGGATTTACCGTGAAGCCTTCATTTGGTACCTGTGATGTGGAGGTGTGATTCACTTCCCCAGTCTGCCCTTGCATTTCTTTTTTGTCCGTTTGGAACCAGCTTGTGTGTCACAAAAGAATTTAAGTCCATTTCATTTCTCTGCCTTTTAGAATCACTCCGTATATACTTGTGTATAAGCCAGGTTTTTTAGCAAATTTTTAATGTGGTTTTTGTGGTAAAATTAGGTGCCTCGACTGATATTCGGGTCGACTTATACTCAAGTAGATACAGTGTATGGCTGTTGGGTTTGATTCTTTGTCCTTGGGTTTCTAAAGCAGCCCTTGCTTGACAGGATTTCTTCCCTGCTCTGCAAATTCTTTTACCAGGGCAGGTAGAACTCACTTTTTCTGCCCCAGAGGTCTGCACACTGCAGACTGGAGAGGCCACCCAGGCAGGGCACATTCCACCCCACTTATCAGCCTGTCTGACACACTCAGCCTGCTGTCATCTCCCAGGCACAAGGGGACAGGCAGGAGGCATGGAACGTGCAGAGGTGCTGCACATCCCTCGATCAGATGAGGTGGACTCTGAGCAGGGTGAGTGAGTCATCCCCGTGCCATCCTGCTACCCAGCTTCACGTGTGGCCAGAAAGACCCTCTTCTTGTCTTCTGGGCTGACTACCCCACCACGCGACGACCCAGCCACAAATTGCTCCAAAGTCAGAAACCTGTGCCCATTGTTTGTTTTGGGGTTACCAGGGTCCTAGTAAATGCAATCCATGACTTTTTGACCATGGCTTATGTCTTGATTATACACATACATTTTTAATAATATATGCTTGAGGATGAAGGAGGCCAAAATTCACTTAGGGAAAAATCGTGAGACTGGCACGTTATATGCACTGTGCAAGAACTTTTCAACATGATTCCATCATTTCCACACCATTCTATGGTGTGAGCGTCATTTGTGAAAAATATGGTCCAGCTGACTTTATTCTAAGCCATTAAGGAAGATTCACTGCAGATTTTTTACTGGTTTATTCTGAAATTTCTAGCATTGGCAGCTCTGAAATTCAGATTCTCCTATCATTTGAGCCATGTGCTAGGCAATACGACCACCCCTTTCTGGAGGTGAAGGAGGGAGCTGAAGGAAAGAAGTCACTTCCCTCCCATTTGGAGCCAATCCTGTGTGCATCTAAGATACGGAGAACATTTGTAGGCGCACAGATGTGTGCAATCACAGATGCGATCAATTTTGCATGGGGGAGATCATGTATGTTCCCACAGGAAGTGATATTTGGCACTGAGAGACGAGGGGGCAGCCAGCCTTGGACAGACAGAAGCATGGCATGCTAAATGGAGAGAAAAATGGCATCTGGGAAGGGCGTTGTGGGGGCACAGTGGGTTCCATGTTGGGCTACTAACTGGCAGGTCAGCAGTTTGAACCCATCAGCTACTCTAAGGGAGAAAGACGAGGCTTTCTACTCCGTACAGAGTCACAATTTTGGAAAACCACAGGGAGAGTTCTACCCTGTCCTGTAAGTGAGACAGAGTGGACTTGAGAAGAGTGAGTTTGGTTTGGTAAAGGACCAGACATTCTCTGGTGGAGGATGAGGATCCAGACACAATAGTGACTGCATGCAAAATTGTCACTGCCACCTAGGGTGGTTTGCCAGGCAAAACCTACACTTGGCAACTGAAACAATCACAAGTTCCTGAAGAGAGGCGATGTGCTTTAAGAAGGCCAATCAGCTAGCAGAAAAGGAGAGCACCATGGGGAGGTCATGGCATCAGTGCAAAGCAGAGGCCAGAAAAACACACGCCAGAGGAGTGGTAATGATGATGAATGGTCCAGCCTGTGCATCCTGAGTGGCCGAGCAGGTAAATAAGCATACAGGTGCTCTGAAATGGAAGTGTGAGCAGTTACCATGATGGCGGGTTCTGATTACAGAGACAGAGAAGATGAAATTAGTGACCCACTGAGACTGTGGCTCTCTACCAGCACAATAATAGTCTTCACTTTTGTTCTCTGTTGAATTCCTACCTTGGTTGGAATCCTTCAGGGCTTGGTAGAAATGATGTCCTCTCTGTGAGGTCCTCCCCGGTCATACGGAAGCCTGGCCTCCTCCCTCTTCACATAACAGTTCTTGTATGCCTCCCACACCTGTGGCCTCGTCACTTGAGTACATGCCTTCCTCCTGCAAATACACAGTAAGATTTCTGAAGGTGCACCTTACTTATCTCTGAATTTCTCATCCCAGCCAAACATAGACATTCCTCAGAAAATGTTTGTTGAATAAACCGCCTCTGCTATCACATAGGATATTTCCTGCAATCCTTTTGTGCCTTGGGATATGCTAGGTTCCCAGCTCCCCCTTTTGTAGTCAATCATCCACCTTGACCGTTAGACCCACTTCACTGGATCTCTTTTCAAGGGTGGTCTCTGACTTGTAACAAAATTCAAATCCAATCTCCAAAGAGAAAGCTGCTTTTTTTTGTCCTTTTCGTAAATGATCATTTCCTTGATCAAACATGTCAGGGATGTTCTGTGCACCGGTGTTCCTCGTTGGTAGAGGAAATGTGGAGACTTCCAGTCAGATGTCTTTGTAGACACAGCTTAGCTTTTCTCGCGTCTTGAATGCCCACATAGGGAGTCTACATGTGGATGTAGAGAAATGGCTGCCCTCATCCATTGCTAATGGGACTGTGAAAAGATACAGCTAGTAGAGAAAACAATGTGTGGGCTTCTCAGAAAGTCAAACATAGAATTACTAGGTGATCTAGCAATTCCATGTCTAAGTACATACCCGGGAGAATTTAATGTAGGGATGCAAACAGACATCTGTACCCCTCCGTTCACTGAAGCACTGGTCATCACACTAGCCCAAAGGTGGAAACCGCTTACATGTCCATCAGCAGAGGATTGGGTAAACATGATGTGGCATATTCATGCCATGGAATATTATTCAGTCATAAAGAGAAATGAAGTTTTGGTACATGCTATGACAGGGATGAACTTTGAAAATGTGCTGAATGAAATAAATCAGTCACAAATGATCCCATAGTATAAGAAACCACTTAAATGAAACCCTGTGTCTACAATAGGCAAATGCATTGAGAACAAAACTTCTCAGTGGTCACCAAGATGGAGCAAGGGGAAAATTGGGAGTTATCGTTCAAGGGGCACAGAGCTTCTGTTAAGGGTGATGAAAAAAAACATTGAAAATGGATACCAGTGATGATTGTATAATATGGCAACCATAATTAATACCACTGAATTTTACATGTAAAAATGGCTGCTTCCCAGAAAGAAAGAAAATTGCTCAAGTACTTACCGCTCTCGCAGAGAAAAGCTGCTTCATTGTTGAAGGGACTGAGAATACTTCAGATGATGCCAGGGTGTGAATTTCTCTGAATCCCAGCAGACATGGAAATAAAGGAAGTTGGGGTTATTAAAAAATTGTTCCTAAACGATTCCTGTCCCAGAAACCTTGCCGTCGTTTTGACAATATTTTCTTTCACAAATGTGGCAGAATATGATCAGCTTTCGGGATAGTATCAAAATGGATTCCTTGTTACAGCCTCAGTGGATTAGCAACATTCTACCCAGAGGTGCCCCCACACAAAGGCTGGGTCTCTATTTCTGAGACACCAAGCACTGGGAACACTGTAGAAACCAGCTCTGTTCTTATACAAGGGGGCTTGAAAAATGCCTGGCAAATGGAAAGAAAGGAGAGCAGAATTGTTTCTGTGAGCTTTGGCAGCCCTCCTTCATGCACTTGGGCTCACCTTGAGTCAAGTGGCAGCTGTTTCGTTTGACTTGGTGGTTGGGTTGGGGCGTTGAATGGTTTCACTGGCATTACGGTCACACGGGACGCCACATTCACCTTCTACTGAACATCCTGCTCCTCCGTGCCCGACATCCAGCTGAAAATCTGCTGTCCATTTGGCTGGGTCATTTATACATGGCTTTACAGGATCCCAACTAACTTTCCAAAGAAGGGCTTTGAAATATGGTGGCGATTCTAGTTTTGCTTTTCGGAAGCCATCTGGTGGGTCAGGGGCCCTTCACTTATATGGGGCAGTCCAATGAGGACATGGCCAGGCTGGGGGCAGAAGTTTCCATTCCCGTCCCGTGGGCCTCTTGCTCATGTCTGCTGGCAGAATTACTGTAAACGCTTGGCTTCAGAATTGATTTGCTTCTAAATGTTACTGAAAGGCAAGGATGGGGTGAGGGCAGAGTGGGGTTGTGTTTTGTTTTCCCTTTCGCTTATGTTCTTGTGGAAGTCAGGGGCCAGTGACATTTTCAGAAAATCACCTTGGCATAACTAACTGGAAAACATAGCCCTGAAGAGCTGTTGTGTCACCCGGTGTTTAGCCCCCAGCTATTGACAGCCATTCCAACACAGTAACTCAAGAATCCACAAAGATTCAGGACGGGGTCCTGGAAGTATATTTTCTTCTAGTTCATTCTGAAGGAAACGGAGCTCTATGGGATGGGTTCAGTCTCCTAGTCTTTTTGATCCTCAGCTCATGTATTCTTTAATGCATGGCACTTAAATGACTGGTGGTTTGCCCATTACCTTAGTACAAAAAGAGCTAGTTATCGATCCCTTGTGCTTTCAGATAGGCTTGCTTCTATAGCATCATATGCCATGCTATAGATAGTCTTTTAGTTTCCAGTGATACGAATTTGCATGCAAGAAGTAGAACACCGGCCGTGGCAGCTTTAGGGAAGTATGTGGGAAGCGCACAGAAGGGCCAGTCCAGGTGGTTTTCCACGAAATCCGTAGCTGTCCCTCTTGACCTGTGGTTTTCCTTTTATTGCAGGAGCATTTCACACCTGAGTGTAAATTCAAAGAATCGGTGTTTGAGAATTATTATGTAACGTACTCATCCATGATATACCGTCAGCAGCAGTCGGGCCGAGGCTGGTACCTGGGGCTGAACAAAGAAGGGGAGATTATGAAAGGCAACCACGTGAAGAAGAATAAGCCCGCAGCGCACTTTCTGCCCAAACCACTGAAAGGTAAGCGGGATGACGTGGCCATTGGCATGGGCTCCTCCTTCTCATGCAATCGTGGTCGTGCTTCACAAAGGGACGCATAGTTCTGCCACGTAAAGGCATTTTAGGCACAAATGTAGCATTTTGAAAGCCACTAAAACAGGGAACTATTGAGATTGCTGTCTAATCTTTTGATTTTAATGTTTGTGCTGTCCACCTATGGCTCTTGACGTTCCGTGGTACGCAGGGTAACACCTTACTCGGGTACAGTTGTCTTAGTTGCTAACTGGGCACTGCCAAGACCTCCGATTGCTGACAGAATGGCCCCTGGCCAGGAACATTAGATGCTCAAATGTGTGCACTGAACACTTAGCAGAAAGCTTCTTGGAGCTCACTAAGGGCCCATCCATGAGATTCCAGCTGTTTTGTCTGTCCCTCATTGCTTCGTTCTTCCGTCATTAGTAGCCGAATAGTGACCAAGAGAGGACTGGAGGACAGAAATGGAGTGAGTAGACTGTAAGCTCTACTTAATAGTTTCCTGCTTTTCCAAGCAGACAGAGAAGACTGGAAAAATAAGAAAATAAATAAGATGCCAAAAAAAATTACCCAACTGGGGTTGGATTCGGGGCTTATGGTTGGGGCCAACTGCCTCGTTCAAATCAGCCTGTCATTGTATTGTAGACCACAGTTTTGAGCTTGAATCTTCATCACATACTAAAGTGAGTCGCTGTGAGTCGGAATCAACTCAATGGCAGTGAGTTTGCCGTTTCGTGTTTGTTTTTGTGCGCCTCGAGTTCCTCCTCTGTACACAGGGGATAAGAGCGTCAGCAAGGTAGGCTTGCTGGGTGGATTAAATGAGAAAACGCACATTAGGCACGCAGAACAGAATTGAGCACACTGTCAGTGCTTTATACATATATGCTAACGTGGCATTTTTTCAGCAACCGGAACAGTATTTACCATCTCTTGAATTGAGAATTGTGCTAATACTTCGACTCTTCGAGAGTTTCATTTTACAGTATGATAGAAATCAGTGGTCTGCGATGTTTTAAAACTTTCATATTTGCCTTGCCCAGTATACCCTCGATCCTATTTAAACTTCTAAAAGCATTTTTCATTAATCCTCTTATGTATAGCCATTAGTGATGGAAGCTAGACATTCGAATTCTCCACACATGACTGCACCTAGACCAGATTTTGCTTAATCCGATTGAGTTCACTCACTGCTCAGTTGCTGAAAGCTGCATTTTAATGTTTGTCTGGAAGCATAGAAGTCCAACAAGGAGGATGGGCATGAGGCGGGCCCACTCCATGGCCTTTCATGCTGTCTTTCTGTGCTTTTCAGTGGCCATGTACAAGGAGCCGTCCCTGCACGACCTCACGGAGTTCTCCCGATCTGGAAGTGGGACCCCCACCAAGAGCAGAAGTGTCTCCGGCGTGCTGAACGGAGGCAAATCCATGAGCCACAATGAATCAACGTAGCCAGTGAGGGCAAAACACGGGCTCTGTAACAGAACCTCACCTCCAGGTGCTGTTGAATTCTTCTAACAGTCCTTCACCCCGAAGTTCAAATTTGTCCTTGACATTTACCAAACAAACAGGCAGAGTCCACGGTACTGTCTGCCATTTGCCCTTCATAGCATCGATATGTAAGCCCCCTCATTAGACCGAGCTTGTGCCAAAGAATGCCAAGCCTATAAACAGTGAACTCAATCCGGGAGAAGGACTGTCCCATGTTCTCATGATCTCACCTACACTTTGGGGGAGGGATGACACACCAAAACCATTTTCACAGCACTCATGCTGATATAAATTTGCTCTCTAACCATGAAAAGTTAAAAGACCACAAAAAGACACAACACACAAAACAAAATTAACTGCTTACATGTTTTGTAGGGGCAAAGACATTTCTGTGAGCCGTGCTGTTTTCTTGGCTTCATGTTTTCTATCTACGCTTGATTCCGATGTATTCTTTACTTTGGTGTAGTGCAACTTTATGATTCTGAAATTCAATGGTTCTATGGACTCTGTGTCTCTTAATCCAAATCAACCAAATTCAGGGTTGAATCGGAATTGGCATCTCAGGCTCAAGGTAACAGTGTTCGTGTGACTACCAATTTTTTTGTTTGTTTGTTCTTAGATTCGTAGTTTTCTGGTCAAGTTCTTGTGCCGTACTTTGTGTGTAGAAACTGAGTAGTGTTGCCAACCCCAGTCAGTACAGATCACTCAAGACAAAGAAGAGTATCCTTAAGTGTAGATTTCTCTTAATTCCATTTGTGTATCATGTTTAAGCTATTATGGCTTCTTGTGCAAAGACAGGATCTGTGGAATTGTAATGTTGTCTTTTGTGTTGTTCAAATAAGTAATGTCTTATCTGCATATGTATGAGTCCTTTTGTTGTTGTATTTGGCACGTGACTATTGTGTACAAGGAGATGTTAAGATTGGTTACCCCTAAACAACATATATTTATACCTGCTATTGGAAAAGTGTTAAAACTTAGCTAGGTTTCCATTTAGATCTTCATATCTGTTGCATGGAAGAAAGTTGGAATCTTGGCATAGAGTTGCATGATATGTAAGATTTTGTGCATTAATACTTGTTAAAATCTGCGTTCCCAAAGTAGACATAGCATGTACAGGCAGCTTTCTGTTCTGTACACAAAAAGTAAAAAAAAAGTTGTTTAATATTTGTTGTTGTATACCCAAATACGCACCGAATAAACTCTTTATATTCATTCAAAGAAAACCCCTTCAATCTGTCTTTCTTGAGTGTCCATTATGTGGCAGAGCTGGACATCAGAACTGGAGTGAAACACTAAAGGATGACAACAAGGCATCTTTCTTCGGATAATCTATTGCCCAGCCTTACATACAAACTTGGACTTCAGATCAAAAGAAGCATTCTCAATTCCACTCTCTAACCAAATGCACAGCCGAGCCCTACGTTCTCATCTTATCCCTGCCAGCCACACAGTCATTTTCCCTCTCTAGTCTCACACCCTTTCCTCTGTAGCGTGAAGACTTGGGAGCTAAAAGATGCTTAAAGCCCTGGCCACCTCTGGAAACTGTACACTTTTTTTCTTAATGTGGATGGCTCCTCTATAGCTCCTCCCAAACTGTTGTTAGCCAACAAGAAAGGCTCTGGAGCAGTCATTGTATGGAAGAGGTTGCATTAGAAGGGCCTGGATGGAGTGCGAGAGAAATGTGGGAAAAAACTCAAAATCTTAGAAGAGACCCGGCTTGCTGGTCACATAGAGACACGTGAAGCTCTGGGACCACAACCCTTAGTCACTCTTCGGGTCTGGCAGTGAACTCACCCTCCTGACTCAGTTTACAGCCAAACAATAGATAGCTCTATAAGGGGAACAATAACACGAGGGGGAGTATGCACATCTAATAAAAAACCAATTTGACATCAAAAGGACAGCTTTCCCCAGAGGCAGAATTCAGAAGGGGAAGTGACGGCCCCCTGAAATGGTAAGCAACAAGGTGAAACAAAATGTGTATGGATGGTTGAATGGAATACCGATGATCTGCTTTATGAACCAGCACCCGAATCATAATTTTTTTTTTTCAAAAAGAAGGAGCAGGGTATCCACACAAAATCCTAACCCAGTCCAGTCCAATCCCACCCCACCACCTTTGGATTAGAGCTCTCATCCTGCCTGAACCCTAAAAGCACACCTAGAGGAGGTGCAGCTGTCTCTTAGCTCATACTTCGACCAAAAGCCCATGTAGCAGTTGATAAACACCAGTGAACCCTCCTCAAGGAGTGCCTGAATGGTGTGAATGGTGACTCGCTGAACGACTACTAATTGGAAATTGTCGGTTTGAACTCACCCACACACCTCGCAAGAAAGATTGCCCGCCAGGAAAACCTAGGGAGCCAGTTCGACTTTGAAGCACACAAGGTTTCCATGACTAGAATGGATTTGACAGCAATGAATTTGCTTTTTAGGATCATGCACCCACCACCCCTCTGCTCTGAATCTTATTTCTATTCAATCAATAGAAAACAACAGTGTGTTGCCTCCCTCTTGCACTAAGGGCTTAAAAGTTGGGTTATTGAATATTTTCCTGAAATGTGCTTGCTTTTTTTATCCTGCAGGGCTAGCTTGGTCTATTGGGATTGAGCAAATAAGCACATTGGTGTCTCATGTAAGCCTGGTGCAAATAGGCATGGGCCAAAGTGCCCGGGAAGAATCTACACCCAAGTGTTTTGGGAGGGTTTGTTTGTTTTGTTTTTGAGCTGCCTCAAATTATTTTTAAATGTAGGTGGTACTGAAGTAAATCCATCAGTAAATAATCCTCAAATAAATGGCCAAGTGATGCTATTGACATGCCTGCATCGCCTGAGCAGGTGCACATGCGCGCGCGCACACACACCTCTTCAGCAGCATTTTTCAGCCCATGTTCTCAATCTTACTTCATGAAAGGAAAATAGCAAAGAAGTTAGACAAAACGGCTTTGGGAAACACAGCAAATACTAGTGGCTCTGTGACTATAGCCCACAGCAGAATGACCTGCAAATTTTGCATTTCTAATGGGTTTCTGGATAATGCTGAAGCTGCTGGTCCTGGAAACCATACCTGGCATGAAGGATTTCCCTCCTGGAGTTTTAACATAGGTGTCAGCTCCTGTAAAGGTGCACAAGTCCCAAACCCTATAGATCAGTGGTTCTCAGCCTTCCTAATGCTGTGACCCTTTAATACAGTTCCTCTTGTTGTGGTGACCCCCCCCAACCATAAATTTATTTTCATTGTTACTTCATAACTGTCATTTTGCTACTGTTATGAATTATAATGTAAATATCTGATACACAGGATGTGTTTTCAGTGTTACAAATTGAACATAATTAAAGTATAGTGATTAATAACAAAACAGTATGCAATGATACATTGTGAAATATTTATGTGTTTTCTGATGGTCTTAGCCGACCCCTGTGAAAGGGTTATTCGATCCCCAAAGGGATCGCAACCTACAGTTGCGAACTGCTGCTATAGAAGGTAATCTGTGAGTCCACAGTGGGTTTTGGTAGTGACCGGTACTTTAAATTCTAAAGAGTCTCACGTTAACCCTTCATAGGTGAATCTTGTTCTGCACTGATTTTTTTTAATAGCATGTGTTTTTAGTAATGGAAGATATGCTGACATCACGGGGGAAAAAAGATTTTGGGGGAAGTGGTAAGGATTTCGATACAATTAGTTAGACTCTGGTGGGAGGATTGAGGGGGTGAGACCCATTTATTTCGGTTCACCTGGTTATGCAGGTACTCACCAGGCAACAGCACCTATGTGAACTAGGAGAGCAGCTTCTCAAAAAATCAGAGGTGGAAAAGGTTAGTGGGTGCCCTGTGTCCCACAGATCAAGAAAGGGTGTAAGAAACGGAGTAACATGGGGAAGTGCTGAGATGAGCACTCATTTGGCAAGGAAGCCATGTGTGTCCACAGAGCACCTGTGACCTTGGCATGATGGGTGTCCAAACATTTTGTGGCCACCTCTGGCACAGGCAGTACTGTGTCTCCTTCGGTGGCTTTAGGGAGGGCTTAGGCACCTGCTGACTCTGCTACTCATCACTTTGCTCCACGGGACCACGGTGTGTGTGCTTGCGTATTTGCACATATGTGTGGCATTTCCATTAGAGAAATAGAATATGTACATATATCACCTCCATATATATCAATAAATAGAGGGTCTCTAAATCTATCTGCAGGCTTATATATATATAGACTTCTGTAATTTATACACTATGTTATTTCTGTCTCGCATGGACACCACACATGCACATGCACTGACACTCACATGCACATATGTGCCAACGCCAGACTCTGGTCCTCCAGGGGGATGGCTCTGCATCTGTTCTGCAAGGGGCCAGGAGCAGCCACATTGACTCTTGAAGCTTCCTTGCCAGTGAGGACACTACACTAAGGGATAATGCCCACAATTGTCAGCACAATATCTTAGTAATTTATGCCCATTTTGTCCTGGAAAGAATTGTGGACACACAACAGAATTGGGTTTTCGACTGTGTGTAAAATTGACAACTAAGCCAAGAGAAATGCACAAGGGTGTTGCTAGAGGAACAGTCCTGCTTCTTTGAGTGCGTCGCTCGGCTGATTGTTACTGTGGCTATTTATTACCTTATAAACTGTCAGGTCTGCGCGGATGTGTGACTGAAGCCTGAATAAAGAATTCATGCAACGACCGATGGATTAACATGGAATCAGTCTTGAGGAAAAGGAGATATTCTAGGGTTTAGCAAACGGGATGTTTCCTTTCCTTAATTGGGATTAATAAAGTAGAACGCCAGTTAGAAATACATGCAGAATTCTGTAAAATTGCTAACATGGGTAAGCCTCTCCATTACTAATACCTTTGTACAAAGTGAATGATTGTAATCCAGCTGTTCTTCCTAAATGGCAAGAGCAGAATGACTTCTCTCTCAAATGTCGACTACAACCACAGTTTCTCCTTCCATGGAGAATGACTGCATTTGTTTGAACCAAAATGGTGTCGCGTGGCTCTTAGGGACTTCTCAAAATACCTCATGGTTACATTTGCCAACATATAGAGTCCTTACGATGCACAAAATGTTGCTCTATGACTGTGGGGAGTACCCATGACTACCCACTGTCAAGAAGATTTGGGTTAAAAAATCCAATATACTTGGAGTTATAGATCATTGTGCTAATCTGTGCTATACATGTTATGGCCCAAGAAAGAAATCAGTACACAAGAACTCCCTTCTATAAACCTCCCAGTCTACTGTGGTAGATAGACACGGAGCCATAAATTATGATAAATGCTATAGTGCAGCCGGTGAGCTGGGAGAAGACAATGGAAGAAAAACATTGATTAGGGAAATTGAAAACAACAATTCACAGATCAATCAATTTTTGAGTTGCATCTTCCAAAAACATAGTACAGTATAGACAACCCTAGGCCAAAAACAGTGAAAGGAAATTCACAAAGGCATGAAATAACATTGGATACCCAGGAAAAGTTCATTAGCAATGTGTGGCCGGACAATTGGAGGCAGAACTTGAGGAAAGAGCCTTCATCTTGCAATGCAATTATTGTCTCATTGTCTGAAAGACCTGTATGCCACGTGTGTGTTGCTTATGGCCTTTGAGTTGGCTTCCAAGTCACAATGATTTTATGTATCACGGAGCAAAAACGTTGCCTGATCCTGTACCATCTTCATGGCAGTTCCTCTGACTAGAGACCATTGGATAAAGCCATCTCATAGATAGTTTCTTAATATTCACTGACATTACCAAGCCCAGTGGTCATTACTAATGATTGGTCTTTTCTGATGACATATTCACGCTCAGCAATTTGAAGTCTTGCCATTCTAGCTTCTAAGTAGCATTCTGGTGGCATTTCCTTTGGAAATCTTGTCAACTTCTTCAAAGAAGACTGGTAGGGTTATTATTGGGAGTGTATTTGTTTGGTCTATAGATCAATTTTTAGACTATGGACATCTTGCCAATATTGAATCTTATAATCCATTAACATGATATTACATATATATGTATATATAATCTTTATATAAGCCAATTAATTTCTCTTTGGAATGTTTTGCTCTTTTCAGTACAGAGGCTTGCAAGTATCTTGCTAAATCAATTCCACTGTGGGCTTATCTTTGGAGCTATTTTAAAAGGATTTGTAGTTTTCATTTCATTTTCACAATGTTTCTTGCTAGTATACAAATAGTGTAAGATGAAAGTTTGCTAAACTTATTCG